GGCGGAGGGTTTTCCGGCTTGGTACACAGCAATAACTGTTTCAAAGTCTTGCATTAAATAGGACCTGGAAGAAATGATCGAATCGGGAAACCCTGGTGTATTTACTCAAGGCATTATCACAGACACGCAGCAGGCTAGACAAACCCTTGCAGATATTGAAGCTAGGCACAACGATATTATGAAATTGGAATCAAGCATAAGGGAGCTTCATGACATGTTTATGGATATGGCAATGCTTGTGGAATCTCAGGTTTGTCGTTCTATGGTTTTTTAAAATGTTTTGTAACAGTTTTTATCTTTTATTGTGTCTTCACAGAGAAGAAATTTATTAATTTCCAAGAAAGCTTATTTAATTTGCCGCTTGGAATTTAGGGTGAAATGGTTGACCGTATAGAATATAACGTAGAACACGCGAAAGAATTTGTTGATCGTGCCGTTGCTGACACAAAAAAAGCTGTGCAATATCAGAGCAAAGCAAGACGGGTTAGCTCAATTAGTCTTTATTATTTTTGTTCTTTTGAGTTACAAGGAGCGGTAAGATATCTTATTGAAGAATGACTGTCCAATTTGCTGTTTGCATTTACTAAAGAATTATTGTTGTTATTATTGTGCTCTACCCACCATTTTATTTTAGCATCTGCTAACAAACATCGCTCAAAAATCAGTTTTTCAGAGTTTTAGCAACTAAAGTTTACAATGTGTTTATATTTTTTTCTGAAATTACAAAAATTAATCACCTAACTGTTAAAGTTACAGTAACCTGGGTTAACTGACTTTTTCTTTTAATTTTTACAGTTTTGCTTGAGCATGGAATGTCTATAGTTTGTGAATTTGCATGCAGAGTGAAACGATTTACTTGGTACATATTATGTTTTTGCAGAAAAAAATATGTTGCATTGTTGTCGTGGCACTCATTTTACTAATCATAGTTGTGATTATTGTGGTGGTTGTTGTGACGAAAGTTGGTGGCAACTCATCTTCAAGCAAAAGTAGTGGTTCTTCGAGTGAGCCTGCACGCGATGCTAAAGCTCTTGTTTCTTCTGTGTAGTTCTGTACGATGTCATCGTTGGAGTTTTTCCGAAGAGCTTTCGGACTGGTTGCTTTAAACGGTTCAGTAGACAGTGCTTTTCTTTGCTGATTTAGTTAGTAGAAACTTACTGCAGCCTGTCGTTAATCTTATAATTATCAATTTTTGAAGGTTATGTTTTTAAGTTGGGAGTTTACAACCTCGGATAATTCTGCAAATTCGCTTTTCTTAATTAATCAGTCTACTAAGATTAGTGCTCAAGCTAATTTCTCTTGTTTGGATTGCTGAAGGCAATCTTTTAACGCTTAGTT